TTTATGTGAGTTGGTGAAGTTGTTTGTAAACATATACAATTAACAGCAATATTTTAAAACATTTAAATATATTTTTTATTCATTTCTGACATAGGAAACATTACCTAACGCTGAAAATGAGTTGATTAGACGGCAATTACTTCATGATACACATCAATATTCTCCAGTTTTGCATTAACTCCTCTCCTTCTGCTTATAACTATGTACGAAATACATTCAACAAAGCTCTTCCTCATACAAGTACAATACGTAAATGGTATACTTCTATTAATGGTGAACCTGGTTTCACCCAGGAATCCCTAAATGCTATTCGTTTAAAATCCAAAGAAATGAAGCAAAATGGTAAACCATTAATTTGTGGATTGATAATGGACAAGATGTATATAAAAGAAAATATTTCTTATAATAACCAAAGATTACAAGGGTATGTCAACTACGGTACAGGTACTGATGGGAATGACAGTCTTCCTAGGGCTACTCAGGCGCTAGTATTTATGTTGGTAGCAATAAATTCTTGCTGGAAAGTTCCGATTGCATATTTTTTGATAAATGGAATTTCATCACAAGAAAAATCAAATTTAGTAAATATTTGCTTGTCTAATGTACATGAAGCCGGTGTTATAGTCAAGACTTTTGATGGCACTTCCTCTAATTTTTCAATGGCTTGATGCCTTGGTGCGAATTTATCATTTACTAACTTGATTACTTTCTTTCAACACCCTGAAACAAAAGAAAAAGTGCATATATTACTTGATGCTGCACATATGCTCAAATTATGCAGAAATACCTTGGGTGATTGGAAAACAATATATGATGGAAATGACAAAGCCATACAATGGAAATACTTTGAAGAGCTTGTAAATTATCAAGATAGAATTGGCCTACATGCAGGAACTAAAATTCGTTCTAGACATATTAGTTATCACAAGGAAAAGATGAAAGTAAGATTGGCTGCACAAACATTCAGCATGAGTGTGGCAAATGCTTTGACATTTTGTTCAACCACATTAAATTTAGAACAATTCAACGATTCAGAAACAACGGTACATTTTTGTAAGACTATAAATAACATCTTTGATTTTTTAAATACAAGGAATTTCTTAAGTAAATCTGAATATCAAAAACCATTAAAAAACTCAAATGAAGAAAAAAATAAGTTATTTATAAAAAATTCAATAGAATACTTGCAATCACTTAAGTGTGAGGATAAAAATAAAGAAAAAATATTATTGGTTAAATCTCAAAGAAAGACTGGTTTCTTAGGATTAATCATATGTTTACAAAGTATCTATAATGTATTGGACGATATAGTTAAGCCAGGTATTTTAGATTTTTTACTTACGTATAAGTTATCTCAAGATCACATTGAAATCTTCTTCTCGGCAATAAGAGCAAGAGGAGGATTCAATAACAACCCAACGGCAGCTCAATTTGAATCAAGCTATAAACGGCTACTGGTTCACACTGAATTAATGGTATCATCTGGAGCCAACTGTTTACCACTTGATTTGACAACAATATTAACTGTTAGTAGTACATACAAAAATGAAGGTACTATTACTAATACTTACATTGATATACTTTGTGCTGAAGACAATTCATTAATAGAAGATGACTTAATTAATGATAGAAACATTGTAGAAAATATTTATATTACCAATGTAGTTGAGTACATTGCTGGGTTCATAGTGAGGAAGGTCCAAAGAATAATGGTATGTGATACTTGCTTAGATGTTTTGGAACAAAATTATAGTAATTTAGGATCATTAATAGCTATTAAGAATAGAGGGGGTCTTAAACAACCGTCTGCAGATTTAGTAAAATTATGTAAAATAGCTGAAAAAATATTTAAACATTATGAATCAAATATTTCTAAGATACCAAGTTTAATAAATTATTTAATAATTAAAGCTACATCTGCCATAGACATCAATACTATTTTTATATCTCTATCTGATAATATATTAAATCAAGCTCCAATGAATAATCATTTGTTACAATTGTTACATTTAATTTTTAAAACATATTTCACTATTCGTGTACATCATTACACAAAACTTATAAGCCAACCAAAAGAAAGAATTAGATCTTATTTGACAAAAACCATACATTTTAAAAACCAATAAATAGTATTAATATAACAATGACTACCTATATTTTAACTATTTATCAGTCTGCTCAGTCATACTCGACCTAATTACTAATTTTTTTTATAATTTTTCAATTATATGTAAATGTAACTATATTTTAATAGCGACACTAGTCATAGACTTTTTAAGAATTATTATTTCTTAATAGGTCTATGGTTATAGTACATAGATAATCATACTACATATTATATTATTTATCTATTTCTAATGTTTATAATGAGCAACATGGAATTGTAAATTGTAATTTATTTTAAAAATTGTAATATTGTATATTAATTTATACCTACTTAATGCACATTGATCTTGTTATTAAAGTTTGAGTGTTTGACTTTTATTTAATTTACAACGGACTTTTTTTTATGATACCTATATTATCACGATTGATTCCCTTGGAGAAATTAGTGATTGCTACTTTTTCTTCCAAATTCGGGGTAAGTTGTAGTCTATCTTTCTTACTCAACGATCAAACTGGTTTTCTCTCTCAATGCGCAGTCCATATCTTAATAGGTCTATGATATAAGTGTATCGTATAAAAAATAAAAATTTAAAATACTTATATTCCAAAATTATTAATATTTGTCCTGACCATCTAATACAAACGATTAGACCTTTCTATTAATGCACTACTTGCTATGTATGTGTATATACATATAAATGCTCATTGCTCATGTATGAATAACATTATTTATTTTATTTATATATTCTATTCATGCATGTGCTGATGTGCTAAAACAGAGACTAATGCTTGTGTTGTTTTGTTGAAAATTGTGATGCTTGTAGTTACGGACTAAGGGCCGTTCTTACGACGTCCGGTTAAACTGTTAAAGTTAACCGACACTTAACCGGAAGAATTCTGCCGGTAATAAAATCTGTTATCAGTCGGTTAGCGTTAACCGACACTTTACCGGACATTGTAAGAACGGCCCTAAGATATATATCTTAGTCCGTGGTTATTACCATGGTCGTTTAATATATTGATAATGAAATGGATCGTACAAAAAATTTTTCCTGCGAATAACCGTTCGTGTGTTCAAGGCCTCAATCGCCTGGTTCGACCAACGCACCGCACGGAGTTTTGTACCATAATACGATAGTTAATAGATATCAGTGTATAATCTTGTTTTTCATAGTTATTTATTGTCTTTTTCTAAATCTAATTTTTATATTCGTGGGATATACAAAGATACACAAATTGTTCAAAAATTTAAGAAAATGCGAAAGGGTGTCGCGATCGACTTGAATTCATCTCGCGATCGACCGGTTGGCGCGATCCCCTGATATAGACTAAGCAATAACCATGACCATAACATGTACATGCAATTGATGTACAATTTTAATTTTATCTTATAGTCTTTAATTCTACAAGAACACAATTGATTTATTTTTAATTGTGCACTGTTCTAATATATTTTAAGCAATAATAGTCCGATACTCGGTACAACCATATTATTGTTCTGTGGTACAACGTGGTACAACCATGTACGACATTTACCCTAATATCAATTTAATTCAAATTATGTTGGTATTGGAAAATGTTTGAGGTTACATTTTGTTATCAAATTTATGTTTGTCGGAGAACGACCCCCAGCTCCGGTCTACGTGCGTACCGGTTCATTGTATATTTGTATAGTGCGAACTGCGAGTGCACATTAGTCAGTCGTCGGTATTAAGCCCGTCGCGTGTCGCAGTGATAATTTTTTTAATATTTCTGATTTAACGATGCCTAAAGATAAGCAACCCATGTCTCGGCGCCTTAAAAAGCTAAGCTCTGAGTTCGGTGAAGATGTGTTCTCTATTAATAATGCAGTTCTATTTTGCAAACTTTGCGAAGTGAAAGTGGATCCTGAAAGACGATCTAATATTACACAGCACATAAAAACACAAAAACATCGTCATGCTGTAGAACATAAAATAAATCAAGAAACAGACAACAGCCAACAGCTATTAACAAATCTAACGCCGGAAAAATCGACTTTCAATATGGATTTATGCAAAGCTTTTATAGCAGCTAATATTCCGTTTAACAAGTTACAAAATACAGAGTTTCGCAAATTCTTACAGCTATACACACAAAAAGATGTCCCCACTGAATCGACACTTAGAGAGTTTTATCTTGATGATTGTTACGAGGAAATGATGAACAATATAAGACAACGTGTGTTTTCAAAAAAAATTTGGATATCGATCGATGAAACGACTGACGCTGAGGGAAGACAAATTGCAAACGCCATAATAGGAACTCTAGAAGAAGATAGAGCAGGTGATATATTCTTATTAAATACCGTCGCATTAGAAAAAACAAATCACTCTACCGTATGCAAATTTTTCGACAAATCGCTCAGTATTTTGTGGCCTGACGGAATCAAACACGATGACGTTTTATTATTTCTATCGGATGCGGCGCCTTATATGGTTAAGTGTGGGAAATCACTTAGTGCATTATATTCAAAAATGGTACATGTGACGTGCGCAGCACATGGTCTCCGTAGGACTGCTGAAGAGGTACGTGGACAATTTGGCACGATCGATAAAATTATATCGAATGTCAAAAAAATTTTTAAAAAAGCGCCATCGCGTGTTCAGATATTCAAGACACATGCCCCGAATATCCCCTTACCATCAGAGCCAGTTATCAAACGCTGGGGCACGTGGCTTAATGCTAGCATTTACTACTGCGAATATTACAAACAAATTTGTGAAATTGTGGAAATGTTAGACTCAGAAGACGCTTTAAGCATAAAAATAGCAAAAAAAAATTTGGTTAAAACATGTGTCAAAAGTAATCTAGAATACATAAAATCAAATTTTGAAGTTCTTTCAGATTCAATTTTAAACATACAAAGAAAAAATATGCCTTTATCCGAATCTTTAGATATTCTGGAAAAAGTTCAAATTCAGTTACAAATGGCACAGGGCAATGAAGGGCAAAAAGTGTATGAGAAATTTGAAACGGTTTTAAACAAAAACAGCGGTTTAAAAATACTAAAACAGATATCAAAAATAATTGGAGGAGAAAGTGACAACATGGATGATCTACCTGAAGATCTTACCACAAATGATTTAATTTTTTACAAGTTTGCTCCAATTACATCAGTTGATGTGGAGAGGTCTTTCTCGATTTATAAAAATCTCTTGACCGACAATCAAAGATCATTTAAACTCGAAAACATAAGGAAATACATTTTACTTCAGTGCAACACAGGTAAAAAATAACCTATCTAATTGTTTAAATATTTAATAATTCTAATTTTTTTTAGTAGGAAATCAAGAAGGTTAATGTTTTTTGAAGATATACAGTATCCATAAAGGCAGACAGAAATACAAACAAGTGTGCAAAAAGTTTATTTTTTTTTAATTTTATTTTCTCATGTACTTAATTTTAATTTTCAAACTTTGTGTAAAATATTTATTTTTTATTCAATAAATTGCATATTTTTCAAATTTTTACCGCATATTATGTTTTTTGATGCATATGTATGCGCATATTTGAGTACTATTTAACGCATTAAGTTCCGAGCCTTGGGCCATATTAGCAATGATAAAAAAATTTAACAAACCTATTTAATGTATAAATGTCTTCAAGGAAAATTTCTTCCTCTAGATATGTGAATCCCTGTATATTCAAAGACGGACATTCTATGTCATTCAGTCATTGTAATACTTGGAAAATGCTGCAGCATTTAATGTTGCGCTCATTAATATAACTTTAATATGAGGTCTCTGGATTAACAGTACAAAAAAAAAAAATTAGTACAATTTAAATAAAATACTGTGCATAGCAATAAACATAATATGCATGTAATTACAACAGGTATGATGCTCTTGAGAATAGTTAGTGTAAAATCTCTAATGGTTTCACGTTCATGTATTTCATCAATGATAATATTATGTGATAAATAATTTAAAGCTGAATCTCTTTGGATATGTTGAAGTAAAATACTAGTAGTATAAAATAATATAGATCCTTATTCACGACCCAATTACTTAATATTATAATCATGTAAATTGAAGAATAAATCATTTATAATAAATTAATATATTTGTATTCTCTAGTAGGTATTTCTCAACTTACTGTGAAAGGTAGTTAAAAATAAATGTAATATTTTATATAAAATAAACAATTCATATTAACCTATGCCAATAATTAAGGTGTGTACAACTTATTAGTTTGTACCTATATGAAATTTTAGATGTTCACAATGTTCACACACTTCAATAGAACTTTTATTTTGTATCAACTTGCCACTTACTCGCAATGTCCCAAATTACAGATCCAATTGTCATAACAATCAGATCAATAGTGACGAGTTCTAAAATAACTTTTTGTTTCTAAATAAACAAAAATGTAGTTGATAACCATATAGTATCATAGTTTTTATCAATTAGGTATGGGATTTGTTAAAATTATAGTAAATAAAGAAAACTAATAATTTCAATGTAATTCCACCAAAATGTCTTATCCCTAATAGTTAGCTCAAAACAAGTTAAATTGTTTTAAAAATTGTATGGTGTACAGAAAATGCAAAAAAAGAAATGTTTTTTCCAATGTATTTGAAAGCACCTGGGAATTTTAAATTTTTACTTGTCATCATACTAGATTCATTTTCCTTTCAGAAAATGGTACTTCCTGGTTATCTAGACTACCCAAATATTCCCAAGACTACCTGTTGGAATCATCCGGGTTATCTCGACTACCTCCGTAGACCGTAATTTATTAATAAATATATATTCCAGCGAATTATTAAAATCATCCGTCTTCAATCACTATACTGTCAATCATACATACAATTTTGTTGACCCAAATACAGGAGCACACACCCAAACAATTGAACGCCTTTGGGGATCGGCAATGTGGCGAAACAAAAAACATAGGGGAACAGCTCGCCATCATCTAGATTCATACCTGACTGAATTTGTTTGGCGACAAAACCTTGGTAACGATCCACCGTTTAATAAGATTTTAATGGATATTAAAACCTGCTTTCCTCCTCAAAAAAATTATTACTACATTTTTTATTTATTTTTCATATTATATTATATTATATTATATTATTACAATTTTTTCTATACACATTTTTATGCCATTTTATCGTGTTTCAAAATAGATTTATATTATTATTCAAAATAGATTTAACCTATATATTTTATATATTTTTATTATTTAAAAAATTGCGATAGTCGAAATAACACGGTTGATCATATAATAGGTAGTCTTGGAAATATTTTGGTAGTCGAGATAACACAGTTGTGAACCTAAAGTAGTCGAGATAACACGGAAGTACCCAGAAAATATACTGAAGTCTAAACTAGTTATGTGTTTCTTTGCAATTTAAATATGTTGAGGCCCTTTGTGTTATTGAAATTGGGTTGTTCCTCAGGTAAATTGTATTGCCTAAAAAATTAAAACTTTGTTAAAAATATGTCAGTGCACCATTAGTTTCTCTCTTTGAATAACGAGCAACATGCAAGCGTGAGTACAGTAGATCCAGTTTTGTACTGTTAGCTTTAATATTAGAGTTATATGACATATTATAATCAAACTTAAAAGCAAATATGTTTTTCAAGGTACCTTATAGAGAAGCACTAAGCATTTATTTGTATTTTATTTTTAAAACAAGTTATGGATATTTTAACGGCAACGGCAACCATTTATAAACAAAAATTTCCATCGGAAATCTCAAAATCTTTGTTTGAGCACCTGATTCACAGTACCACTAGAAAATAATACTTACAAATGAAAATTAAGGCAATACTTTGGATGTCTTACTAAAAAGAATACACTTATGCATGGCAACTTTTTACTAAAACGTATGAATACACTGCTGTACGAATGTATAGTAGTAGTCTGTATTTACTATTTCCGTTCAAATTTCAAATACCTTAACGAATGATTCAAATGATTCAACTATAAAGTCGGCGAACATAAAAATTATATTATGTTGTTGTTATTCATTTGATAACAATTATTACTATCTACTAAGTGATACGTACTATCTTAGTGATAAGCACGGTATTTATAGACTTAATAAATTTGAATATTATTTTGTTTTAATGTTTTGTTGATGTGATAATGTGATATTACCTACTTATTACTTTAGTTATTACTTATTAGTTATTAGCGTAGACGAGTAGTAGCGTGGTTACTGGTTATTACTTCAGTTATTTAGACAGTCTGTAATTAAAACTATATTTACAAGAATACTTCCACCTTCCACAGTCTTAGTCAAGTATGTAATGATTATATTTTATATTGATACATATTTCTATTAATCTAATATATCCAAGTCAATATATCATTGCTTAATGTTACGTCGTTCGTTTTATTGTTGTTCAAGGACTACTTTTTTGGTTAATTGGTAGGAGGCCCGGCATAGAAGAAACCAGTCAGCGAAGTTGATCAATTTATCTAAAAAATATAATACATTAGATACTGTTAAAAGCAGTACAAGTAATTTACCAAAGGATTCATCTTCTTTGCCATTACGTCCCTATGGCATGCAGCCTGACGGAATAGAGTCAAACTCTAAAGTTAGACAATGGTTGCATCATGTAAATAAACACAAGTTAGTATACCATCCAGACACACTTTCTTGTTCGCAAAGGTGGGTACCATAAGCTATATTTCATAATATGTTTATAATTGTTTACTTATTATAGTATTTTATTAATATAATTTTATTTTTTTGTAGTTTTTTTGAGGTACAACATGATGAAGAGCAAAAGAACGAGATTTCTAGCAGTGGTATAAATGATGAAAATGTTATTATACAAAATAAAGGTGTTCAGAATAATTCTGATAATATATGTACGACAGATTTTATGAAGTAAGTAAACAGGTTTTTATCATATTATCTTATATAGTACAATGTTGTCATATATTCACTTGGGTGAAGGATGCAGATATATCTCCACCCATTGTCTCTTTATATTTTCAAGTATTCGGACCATTTCTTGTGATAGTTATTTTTTTATACATACAATTTGTCTGTATTATAGAATTCTGAATTATTGCTTTGATTGTAGGTAAATAAATTATAAAATTGATTTAAGGTTATACATCAAATTTCAATCAATACTATGCTAGTTAATTATATTTCAAAAGTTCGGCCCACGTCAAGGTAATAAAATTTCATATACCACTGCTTTACAGTACTCTGTCTGGCTTTGTATTTCTTCCCCTCCCTTTAATCAAAATATAACTTGAACTAATTTAAGTTTATTTTTTTGATAATTAATTTTTTAATTTTGTATTAAATAATTTTAATGTAACATAATTGTATACAACTTTTTAGTAGTAATTGATTAGTTTCCATGTTTTTTTAATAAACTAATTATTATTTTTTTAGAAATTATGACGATAAATATTTATTTGAAAATGAAGATATCACTAAGTCATCCGTTGAATGTATTTCTACATATCCTGTTGAGATATCAAATTGTAATAGTGATGTTTTATTTATTGGAAATGAAAATAATTTTGATTTCAAAAGTATATCAATCTTAATAAAGTAAGTGTTGCTTATTTAACACTACAATTATGTAATAGTTTTATTTTATTTTTTTTTGTTATGTCATGTTAATTTACATACATTTATTTGGTTCAATATGTATACAATATACATACACTATTGGTAATAATTAAATCGTATATTTTACAGTGCTAATGATGATTATGTATTTGAAAATAAGGAAAGTATTGAGGATCTACTGAATTTTTGCGATCCTCCATTTTCACCTACTCGTGTTACAATTTTTAACCATCATGAAAACCAGAAGAATATTGTTGTCAGTCCCACTACATATTGGTTAAAGTATGTACTTTAGATAAATATTTTGCAATTGTTTTTATTTATTATTTTAATTACAATTTAGATATAATAATGATAATATATTTTGTAATACTATTTTTTTTAGTTCAGTCGACAACACTTATTATGATATTGTGGCTAATGACTTAAATGAATTAAACAATATTTCTCCATCAGCAGCTATTTACACTAACCATGATAGTAATTATTATCCCACTTAAAACACAGAAACTAGTCACGGTGAACAAAATAGACCTGTTCGTAAAAAGTTTGTACTATATTAATTATTATTTAGTAATTCTATAATAATAAATTCTTAAAAATATCATTTCTAATCACGGTTTTTTTTTTTGTCTAGGTTATTTAGTTTTACAGGAAGTAAAAACGAGGAGAACTCGAAAAAGTCGTCATTGAACAAGAACAGTAACGTGGTGAAAGGGGTTTTATGAAGCTTAGGCGTCTTGATGGA